TACTTCTTAGTGGTTATGCCAGAAAAATGGAATTGGTGTGGAGAAATGGGAAAGTGTTTTCTTTTTACTTTATCTGTTTTGTTTTCTTATTTTTTATGAAGATATTTTTTATTGAAAGAAAATTTAAAGATTTGGGTCTGTGATAGAGCAGAGACTGACTTAATGGAGAAACTCAAAGCACTATGGTTAGAATGTCCCCTAACAATTCACGTGATGAGATTTGGCTGTAGTGGGATTAAGAGGGTGAAAACTTAACCTGACTATGTTGTTGAAGGGTGGGGTCTTTGGGATGAAATTAAGATTAAGGTCATTAGGAAAATATACCAGTACTGACACAAGGAGAGCGTCTGAGACCAGAACAAGAGATGTGTTCCTACCTTCCACGTTGTAACAGAATCCAAAGACCGTTGCCAGATATGGCCCCTATACCTTAGACCACTAAATCATGAGTTAAATAAACCTCTATAAATTACTCGACTTAGGTATTTTCTGTTATTAGCAACAACATAGACTAGAACACGGAATATTTTTCTGGACAGTATTCAGTTAACCACAGTCTGTGTCTCAGCTTGTTTGGACTGTAATCACAAATTACCATAGACTGGGTGGTTTATGAACAAGTGAGATTTAGTTCTCATTGTTCTGGATGCTGGGAAGTTTAAGATCAAGGTGCTGACAGATTTGGTATCTGATGAAGGCCTGCTTCCTAGATAGCTGTTTTCACTATAACCTCACATGACAAAAAGGGCAAGACAATTCTTTGGAATCTTTTATAAGGTCACTAATCTCATTCAGAACTTTGTCCTCATGAGACCTAATTGTCTCCTCAAGACTTTATGTCCTAATGCCATCACATCAGGAATTAGGTTTCAACATTTGAATTTTGGGAGCATAGAAGCATTCAGACTAAAGCAGCCTATAACTTCATTAATCACACTTAGTCAGTCCTGAAAACTAACATATATAAGTAGATTCCAAAGTTCAAATGACAAAAATTCAGAAATATTGTATGGTACTAAAATTTTCCCAAGGGTGACACAAAGCTTTCTCTCTGTTATTAAGTACAGAAAACGGCCTATTGTCTGTACAAAGGACAAGTACTATAGAAATAGTAGGAATCAGGGCTAGCAGATGACACGGTGTTGAAGTGGCTGGATCCCACAAGGCCGATGGTGTGGTTCAAATCCTGGACTAGAAGGTTGAGAAACATGCTAGATGCATGTGTGTGCATGCCTCAAATCCTGAGAGACTACAGGAGAAGGGACTGCAGCATGGTCACTCCACTCTGGGAGATGTTTTCTCACTTCACCCCTCCCTGCCCCCATTTTTTTTTCTCTCTGTGACTCTCATCTTTTTCCAGCAAGCACACATACTCTATAGTGAAATTTTAAAAAATAGTAGGAATTCTTGTTATTACTTTAATAATTATTATTCTATTTGGTAAGCGTTCCCTTTTACTTAAACTCTTGAACAATTCCAGTTTTATAGTCCTTAATCTATTCTGTAAAATTTTTCACTTAATATAAATGATATCTTCTTCCAAATTTCTCTGACAGTTTTGCACTTAAAAACCATATGGCAGGGAACCAGCAGTTAGCAGCTGGACTCCCACGTAGTCGACCACAGTTCACGTCCCAGAGCCGGTGGCTTAAAACTCACACCAAGTGCGTGTGCATGCATGCCCAAGATCCTAAGAGGAGACTGGAGGAGAAGGGATTGCGGCGTGGCCATCCCCCCTGGAGGGTGATTTCTCGCTTTCTGTCTCTCTGTCTCTGTCTGTCTGGCGAGTGCACGCGCCCTATAGCGAAAACCCCTCCAAAAAAAAAAAAATGATAGTTGGGGTTGGCAGGTGGCACGGTGGTTAAGGGTGCTGGACTCCCATGTAGCTGGCCACATTTCGAGTCCTGGACCTGGTGGCTTGCTTTCTCACTTTCCCTTTCCCTCTCTTTCTCCCCCACTCTGTCCCTCTTTGGTCAAATTAAAATAAATAAATAAATAAAGCTAAATAAAATAATTATTAGGAAAAAAAAGAGCACACGGAGGGGACAGCATATGGTGTAATAGTTATGTCACTGTACTCCCATGTAGTTGACCACAGTTTGAGTCCTAGACCTGGCAGTATAAACCTCCACACTGGGTGCATGGGTGTATGCCTAAGATCCCAAAAGGAGAATGGAGGAGAAGGGATTGTGGCATGACCATCCCCACTTGAGAGTGATTTCTCTCTTTTTGTCTCTCTGTCTCTGTCTCTCTGGTGAGTGCACATGCCTTATAGCAAAAATCTCTCTCTGAAAAAAAAAGATATGGTGGGCCAACAGGTGTAGTGGTATAGGATTATAAAAAAATAAGCAGGACCAGCAGTTAGCGTAATGGCTATGTCACTGGACTCCTATGTAGTCGATCGTGGTTCGAGTCCTGGACCTGGCAGCTTAAACTCATGCCAGGTATGTGTGTGTGTGTGCCCAAGATCCCGAGAGGAGAATGGAGGAGAGGGGATTATGGCATGGCCATCCCCCTCTATTATATAAGATGCTACTAACCTGAGTTTATACTACCTCTGCTGATAGCTTTCTGGCAGAAAAATTAGAAAGTTTGTGATTGGCCTTGTTTTTATATTTGTTTTTTATTCAGCATATACTCTTATTATCTATCCAAAGTGATTAATTTTCCAACCATGTTTTTCCTTTTAATTGCTGGGTATTATTTCACTGAATGGATATGTCACAGTTTATTCATGTATTTAACAGTTGAAAGGAATTCAGGTGTTTCTATTATATGACTGTTATATAAGCAAACTGTTGTGAATATATGTAAGTTTTTGTGTGAAAGGTAAATTTTTGACTCTGTAGGATGAACACACCCAGGAGTGAATTCTGGGTCATAATTTTTAAAAATGTACAGTTCTTAACCACTATTCACATTTTGGTATGAACATTGTGAATTTTTCCAATTTTTTGAGATGAAAATTAAAATTGCTGTACAGAAGGATATGCAGATTTAACATTCTTTAATGCATTTTTTTAATCAAGAAAAATCATGCTAATTTCCAGTCACTCTTACCAGAATTATAAAAGCAATTTCAATCTCCCATCTCTCAATATCATGATTTAAGAGGATCAGCAGTTAGCGTAATGGCCATGTTGCTGTGCTCCCATGTAGTCGATCGTGGTTCGAGTCCTGGACCCAGTGGCTTAAACTCACACTGGGCGTGTGTGCGTGCGTGCCCAAGATCCCAAGAGGAGAATAGAGGAGAAGGAATTGTGGTGTGACCATCCTCCCTGGGGGGTGATTTCTTGCTTTCTGTCTCTCTGTCTCTCTCTGTCTGTCTTGTGAGCACATATGCCCTATAGCAAAAACCTCTAAAAAAAATCATGGCTTAATTGTTGCCAATTTGAAGTTCAAAACTAATATCTTGTTTTATCTTGCCTTATGATCATTGATAAAGAGAATATTTCTCTTGAATATTTGAATTTTTCTGTTTCCTCTGTTTCTCTTTTGCCCACTTTTTATAAAATTATTCTTACTGACTTGTGGATGTGTGTGCCAGTATGTATATTAGGTTGTA